CGATCGATCAAAGCTCGCTCCGATCCATCATCGTCCTTTTTCCCCATTGTATATATTATTATATTGTGTAGGCCGTTCTACACCATTATATATATAAAGAGAGAATACGCATCTCCGATGCACAGCTATATAGCACCGTACATACATACATATAATACAGATAGACGCAGTCCGCGCACATGCCGCTATAGGCTCGCCGCGCCGCGTAAGGTGAATGTACGCGCGCGCGCATGGAGAGATATATAGGAACGTGTGTGCTTTAAAGGACGAGAAGGAGCAGCAGCAGCAGCAGCAGCGAGGCGAGCGCGAAGAGAGTTGCGCAACTCGCTTCTGCGGCGCGCGAACAGTCACCTGTAGCTCTCTTTCTCTCTCTCTCTCTCTCACTTACCCACACACAAATACTCGCACACACACAGGTATGCACGTTCAGAGATGCCAGGTAGTAATAGCTTTGTATGGCTATAAGGAAGCTGCTCCTTGCAGTGCTACTACTGCTATATATACCTGCTGCAGCATAGGTTAAATGGCGAGTTTCCGCGCGATTCGAATCGCCCGATAGAGAGAAGAACGGCGAGGGTGACTAATTATGTGGGAGACAAGAGCGAGAGAAGAGAGAGAGAGATAGGGATAAGGAGTCTACCTATACGGTATGTGCTATATACGCAGGGAGTCTCTATCTCTCTTTGGCTTTGTTGCGCAATGCTGCCTCTCTGGTGCAGGCCAAGCCGATGCAGATTATATTGCATATACGCGAGCACGGCCAACTTGTTGTTTGTTGTCGTCGCTGTTGTCTTTTTATTATTCCACGATGTATGTACGTAAGTTATTATAGCATGAATCCGTGGTTATACGGGATTATTTATCTTGGGAATAGTCTGAGAATTGAATTAACGTGGCTAGAAACGCGCGTGAGTTCATAACAATTGCCAGAATACTTCCAAATTTGACTCGATATTAGAAAAATTGGTAAAAATAACGCGTCAATCGTCATAAGCATCAACTTCGATTCATACTCGAATTACATTATTCTCATTTTATAACGATCGCCTCGCATACCACCACCTCGTTCGCGTCGACAGGTTGATCCTTTTCTTTCCCCCTTTTCTCGCTCTCGCTTATCCTTTCATTATTCCGATATACTCGGTCAAATTGAGTCTCGCTGACTCGCTTTGTAAAAGCGATCATTGCAAAGCTCGCCTTCTTTCTCGCGTCGACGCGCTTTAATAGTCTCTCTCTCTGGCGATATCAGCTCGACACCAGTTCATTGTCTCCGTATATTACCAATGGCTCGCTCGAGATCCGAAAAGCGAATTTCTTTGAGCTTTTAGCTCGGCCCGTATATAGTAATGTACATAATTTTCAACGCACGATGTATTACAAAAAACTCGATTGTTCATTAATCACCCGCGTGTGAATTAAGAGCGTAACGAACCCGACGCTTCAGATCTTTTATTTATTTGCTCTTTTTTCTTAACTTCATTTTAATACACGTATTATTATAACAATTGCGCGCACACCCGGTCTGATGGATTTTTGACTTTGGCCATTATTATATGTATTTATGTAGATATTATAGCGTATCCGAAGCCTCGGGTATACAAGGTCGATTCTTTTTTTTTTTGCATCTTGCTTCATCGCTGATGTGCTTTTTTTCTCGACTGGCGAAAACCTCGAGAACAAAGTCGCCGTAACGCAGCAGCAGCTGTAACAGCACCGGTAGCACAGCTCGGCCCACGAAGCTTTTACGATGTTGCTCTTCATATATATACAGGAGGGACGATTCTTGAGGCGCGTGTGGGAAGCAGCAGGAACAGACTCGCCGTTCGTTTCCCTCTGTCTCGTGCCTATCAAGGTAGAGGTATACAGGATCGGTGCATTATATATAAACTGCGCATCGCGAGCTTAGAATCTCTCAAAGGCAGGTAGTTAATTTTGCATAGAGATAATAGACACGATCGCGGAGCTCGCGCAGTCGAAAGCGAAGCACGATATGCTCGAGCGTCACTTAATTTATACTCGCGAGCACTCCGATCAATTAGCTCGGAGCTAACTCTCGTGACCCTACACATACAAAATATCCTCGCGCCTACCGTCGTTACGTAAAAGTCCCAAATGCACAGACACATTTATACAGCGAGTATTCGGCTAGGTGTAAAATAGTCTATAGGTGCATCACGTGCATAATATTATGTATAGTAGTATAGGAGCGCAACGAGGTGAGAAAGTTTTTCCTCGCGTGCCTAATCGTTGTACACATCCGCGCCTTTTTTCCGTACCAGTTACACGACGGTATATATATAGGTACTAATTGACACTAGCTTAGATCGCGCAAAGTACGAATGTCGTGGAATTATTACGTGCACGTCGCGTCTCTCGCCGAACCGAGTAAGTCCACGAGGCGTGTATTTACGGAAAAGCTGACTGCACAAAGTTCATACGTGTCTGGCGCGATCGTAAATAATTCATCGCCTCCGGCCGCAGTGCTACAGACATTGTGCGGAGTCGCGAGATCGCCTCGAGGGGGTGGTGCGTATATATCTAGGTATTACGTATAAATGAGCAGCTCGAGGCTATCCATATTATATTTATAGAAAAATGTATGCGTATCATATGCACTTATACGTGTAATGCTTCTCGGTCCGCTGCTTTTTCCTATAAATATATGCACCGAGATGCAGCACGGCACAGCCTCACATATGTGTGTGCAGTCGACTTATGGGTTATAGACCTAACGCCGAGCTGAATGGCTCAAGAGAGAAAGACAAGACCACAAGCACGCGAGGATCCGTATATATGCATGCTTGGCTGCACCGATGCTGCTTTATATATCCTCGAGTTTTATATAAATATCAACGCAGAAATTTCCTGGCACGTATATAAGAATATATACGCGTAGCGATAAAATAGAAGTCGCGCATTTTTGCGCCTTTCCTATGCGGATCTATCGCATACGCGTGTGTGTCCCATTAATACGGCTCTCTCGCGAAGAAGCTGCTCGCTCGCTCACGCGTGTATACCCACGTGTGTGTGTAAAATATATTTATACATTATTGGAGAAAAATATCTCTGTCGTTCGGTATAACGGCAAAATTAGATACGATCGTGCTCGCCGCGCAATAGAGCGCGAGAGAGAGAGGAGTCGATGGCCTGATCGGTATGGGATGATTTTACGATCGCTCGCATAAATATATTGCTGCCTCGCATACTAGTACATCGGATAATTTTGCACTCGCGCGCGCGCGCGACTCGATTAGAGAGACGAGGAGAGGTGAGGTGAATTCGCCGCACTGCGGTGTCGCATATTTTTCATTCTTTTTCTTACGTCCACTTTATTTTTTTTTTCTTTGCATCATCGTCGTCGTAAAAGCTCGCGCTCAGAGATGACGTCAAATAAGTAACGATCTCTGCTCGGACGATGCGCGTGTATACAGTGTTACTCTGTACCATTAAGCGTATACGGACGCGCGTATCGTCATCGATTAAAATAACAACAACGCGACGCCGTACGTATAATACAGTGTCTAACGACGAGTTATAGTGGCACACGATTGCGCATGCAAATATTTCATCGCGTACTTCACAACGCGTATGTAACACAATCATCTCGTCACACACAGCGCATCGGCGGCATCGGCATCAGCCTCGGGATCGCTATGAGGAACATGAAGTTTTGCCCTTATATTCTCCCTCCTCGATACAGCTCTTACATCGTAGTAATAGTGCTCGTTCATTTTCATTTCAATTTCCTCTCGAAGAGATCTGTCGGCAATTGCTCCGCGAACACCTGTGCGACCTTGTCTCTCTCTCTCTCTCTCACTCACTCTTTAACTATACACATGCAGCACAAGAGATGTTCAGCAGTAATAGTATGTGCAGCTCTCGAAGCGAATCTCTATCTCTCTCTCGCGCGCGCAATCGATATATCCCGTAGTTATAATACCGCACTGCCTGTATGTATGAGTTAGCATTCTCTAATGGTGGGATATCATGACTTTAATGCGATATATATACGCCGAGCTCTATTAAACGCCGCAACATCAGCAGCAGAGCCGATTTTTATCCCGCGTATACATCTCTCTTTATCTCTCTCTCTCTCTTCTGCAGCTCCTCATTGTTTTTCCCTGATTTGTTTTTTCTTCTTTGTGTATACGTATTATATACCTATATGCGCTATTCTCGATCGTCGGTAGCTGGCGAAGAAGCCGCCGCAGCCAACGGATTGACCTTATAATTCAGCTTTTCCGCGTCTTCTTCGGTCTCTCGTTCTTCTTCGTCTTACGGTTGTGCTTCTCGGGCGCGCGCGTGCATATAAGCGAGCGATTTCAATCTGCTGCTGCTGCTGCGCTCAAGCGAGAGAGAAAAAAAGGAAGAGAGAGAGAGAGAGAGAGAGAACTTATATAGCTGCACTGCCGCGTTCCAACGCTGCATTTTCATATCGCTCAGTCCCATCGAACTGTTGCTGCTGCTGCTGCTCTTCGTATACGACTGTTATATATAGTTCTGCATTAGCGAGCCCAGCTTGTATATGTATACAATACGTATCTATCACGGAAAGAAGACGACGACGACGAAGAGGACGACGTGAGAGAAGCAGAAGAAGAAGAAGGATGAAGGTGCAGCAGTCGGCGACGCATGGACGGCCGGCGACTATATACGTGAGCTACCGTGTGTACAGTGACAGACAGTACGCACATACACACAAACACACACAGCAAGTCATTGCAGTGCCCGTATGTGTGTGCGTACGCCTATATATAACGCATTAAATTGAAACGCAGCAGCCGCACGCCGAGGACAAATATCCATCAAACGCGCGAAGGTGCGCACGCATTCGGACGGGTGATAAGGCAAAAAAAAAGTCAGACTTGCAATCATGTTTTTTTCTGATAAATGAAAAAAAAAATTTATAATGAATTATTTAATTTAATAATCTTCACACGAGTTTGAATTTCGCGCTTACCGCGCGTGCTGCTTTTGAGATCACTGCAGCTAACGCATACAGCTAACAGGTAAGGCAAAGGTCGATTCTGATTTCAAACGATCGATGCACACGATGTGACGTAGCATCTTATCTGTCGCAGTACTCGATTCTAAGTTACGTATAACCCCGACGGAAAAAAAATCGTTCATAAAAATTAAAAGTAGCAACTAAAAACATCATATTAAATTGTAAAATGTAAAAAAATGTAAAAAAAATCTCAAATTACTAGTGATTTCGAACAGCCAAGCATTAAAAAAGGCAGCATAAAATCACATTTTTTAACACTTTTTTACATTTTCTTCAATATGCTATCTGCGTGTGATCGCATCGACCGCAGCAAGTCCATGTAACTACAATGAGCTTGAATTCATAGGGTTATAATCTCTATAATTATAGGTAAACAAATGTAATAAATAAACTGTAATAAAAAGTAAAAAAGTGTAGAAAAGCGTATCACATGTCCAAAATTGTTAGTAATCTTACTTTTTATTACAGTTCACAACATTATTATGTACTTTATTAAAAAAAAAAAAATCTCCTCGGGGGTAGTAGTTTAATTCGCACTTGTCTGTAACTCGTATTTCTCAGTTTTTTTCGAGTGCTGCTACTCGTGTCGGTGCGGGTTGCTCCGTAAAGCCAAAGTCGTTTATATATTCAGATAAAAATTAGAAATTGACAGGCTAGCGAGGTAGCTATATGCTACTATTGCTGTTGCAGCATACCTCACGTATATGGGCGGTCCCTATTACGCTTGAATTAAACTTTCTAACTACGCGAGTTATACATAGCTTCGGCCACGTCTTTCTTTTTTTTACTTTCCATGTATAGACCGCAGTGTATGCAGCAGTAAGCGTCGAGACGCCGTCGAGTGAACAGTGCAAGATCGCAACGAATACAGCTCGTGATTTAAAAGAAAAAGTATTTCATATTGCAAGTGACTGTTTATGTGTAAGCGTCGAGACGCCGCCGAGTGAACAGTGCCAGATCGCATCGAATACAGCTCGTGATTCAAAAGAAAGAGTATTTTATATTGCAAGTGACTGTTTATGTGTTACTTTATTAAAAAAAAACCACTGGGGAAATAGTCCAATTCCAACGTGTCTGTAACTCGTTGTATTTCTCAGTTTTTTTTTTCGAATACTGCTACGTGTATCGGTGCGGGCTGCTCCGTAAAACTAGAATCTTTTATATTCAGATAAAAATTAGAAAGTTATAGACTAGCGAGGTAACCATATGCTACTATTGCTGTTGCAGTATACTTCACGTATATGGGCGGTCCCTAGTACGCTTGAATTAAACTTTCTAACTACGCGAGTTTTCGGCTACGTCGCATGTATATATCGCAGTGTATACAGCAGTAAGCGTCGAGACGCCGCCGAGTGAACAGTGCAAGATCGCAACGAATACAGCTCGTGATTTAAAAGAAAGAGTATTTCATATTGCAAGTGACTGTTTATGTACTTTATTAAAAAAAAAACCCACTAGGAAAGTAGTCCAATTCCAACGTGTCTGTAACTCGTTGTATTTCTCAGTTTTTTTCGAGTGCTGCTACGTGTATCGGTGCGGGCTGCTCCGTAAAACTAGAATCGTTTATATTTAGATAAAAATTAGAAAGTTATAGACTAGCGAGGTAACCATATGCTACTATTGCTGTTGCAGTATACTTCACGTATATGGGCGGTCCCTAGTACGCTTGAATTAAACTTTCTAACTACGCGAGTTTTCGGCTACGTCGCATGTATATATCGCAGTGTATGCAGCAGTAAGCGTCGAGACGCCGCCGAGTGAACAGTGCCAGATCGCATCGAATACAGCTCGTGATTTAAAAGAAAGAGTATTTCATATTGCAAGTGACTGTGTTTGTGTGTTACTTTATTAAAAAAAAATCCACTGGGAAAGTAGTTCAATTCCAACGTGTCTGTAACTCGTTGTATTTCTCAGTTTTTTTTTTCGAGAACTGCTACGTGTATCAGTGCGGGCTGCTCCGTAAAACTAGAATCGTTTCTATTCAGATAAAAATTAGAAAGTTATAGACTAGCGAGGTAACCATATGCTACTATTGCTGTTGTAGTATACCTCACGCACATGCGCCGTCTCAACGCTTGAACTAAACTTTCTAACTACGCGAGTTGTACACAGCTTCGGCCACGCCGCATGTATATATCGCAGTGTATGCAGCAGTAAGCGTCGAGACACCGCCGAGTGAACAGATTCAAAGTAAAGAGTATTTCATATTACAAGTGACTGTGTTTGTGTGAGTGTATATAAAAATGAGCCAAAAAGTGGATTTAGAACTGAATAGATGGAAAGAAGAGAATCATCGGCGGATCGAAAATGAACGAATTGAATATTTCGGTCCACTTTACATGTGGATCAAAAACTGGGTTGGCCCACTTCCAAATCTGCGTGATCATTTTCGAAAAGATCAAATCGAGAATATTCTGAAGGGTGCCGTGGAGTGTTCAGAAGTAGATATTATCAGATTTGTGATTAAGTGTGGCTACAAAGACGTACCCGACGTCGATAAAGACGGCAAGTCCGTGTTGCGTCGCAGCACACCAGTGCATTTTGCTGATAGATACGGGCTAGAGCGCTACCACCTACTCGATGATTTGTTTAAAATATACGACAAATTTGACGTGAATTACGTCGACGAAAATGAAGTTACGCATTTCCACGTGGCCTGCAAAGCTAACTGTAAATACGTCGTCGAGAAATTTCTCGAACTCGGGCAAGACCCTAATTGCCGCGGACAAAAATCGACCAACTCGCCGCTGTATTCTGCTGTGAGTTGCGGACGAAAATGGGAAGTCGAATTGCTACTGAGAAGAGGCGCAGATCCAAATTTGGCCAATGCAGAAGGATTGACACCTCTACATGCCATTTGCAATATCCAATATTTATACGATTATTACACCCCTCCCAATGACAGATTGACGCAATTCGACATACTCAAGTACTTCCTGGAGATCAACGACGAAATTCAGCAGACGGTGCATGTCAATGCCCAGGATAAGGAGGGCAACACACCGCTGCATTTGGCATTACGAATCGGCCGCAAGGAGGTTATCGAATATCTACTAGGAAGAGGCGCCGATCCAAACTTGGCCAATGACAAGGGATTCACACCTCTGCACACGATTTGCAATCATTGGGAAGATCGCCATGTCTTGATGAAAACGTTTTTCAAGGTCTGTAAGGCAAAACGTCAGTTGGTGCAAGTCGATGCCCGAGACAAGTCGGGCCTGACACCACTTCAATGGGCTGTGGCGTGTCTTTCGTTGAAAACTGTCGATGTACTACTCAAAAATGGCGCTGATCTGTCCAGCTTCGTTTTACCAACTACGGATCACTTCTGCCAAGTATTAAATTCACGCACTAGGTTTTATCATTTCCAATCAGATCTAGCGGCCAGCGCTATGGAACTCGTCGAACTTCTGACGAATAGAGAATACGAACTGGACCGAGGCGATGCATTGACGATCATGGAATTATTCGCTAAGTACGGCTTGTTCCAAAAATCGGAGGATCTCGACAACCGTTGGTACGATGAAGACTGGAGGTTCGTGGCAAAAGCGAAAAAGATCAAGATAAACTCAAGTCAGTCGCTGTACGACCTCATTCAATTGAGACCCGAGGAGGCGGCAAGACGATTCGCTCGTGCGGATCTCTTAAAGTTCGGCCACTCGAAAAAACTACGAGACCTGCACATAGAGGAAAGAGAGGCCTGCTATGTACATCTGTGCGAGACGCTGTCAAGGAGATTTTTCTTGCGATGGGCAGGGCCTTCTTTGTGGCAAGTGGTGCACTACCGGTTGCCGATTCTCTGCTGTGAAATGATCAACGAGGTTCTGATGAACGAAGATTTACGAAATATCTGTTTGACGGCTGAACGCCTAAGCTCGTAATGTCGATAAGCATACTCATGTTGTTAAATGCGACAGATTTTCTCTATGATCATTTAAATAAATTAATTTAAAAAAAATGAATTTCGACTTTTCTTGTTATAAGCACCCGATCATTTAAAATTAAAATACAAAAAATTGAGCGCATTTTAAATGTCCTGAAAATGACAATTTAATTGTTTTAAAAAATTCAAACCAGTTTGCAAACACTTAAGCTTCCTCCGCTAGATGGCGGGTGCTTTTTTGTCTGCAAATCTGCAAGTGACAAAGTAAAAATAGTTGTATAAGTCAAATCACAGTATTCACTAAGTTATATGTAAGCGTTTCATCAAGCGAACAATAAACATAATCGATGCGTTTTTTCTCCATCTGCGCAGCGATGCACATTTACAGACACGTTTCGATAAGTCTCTGAAGCTCTTAAGCTGTATTATATATAACACTCTCAGAGAGCTGCTAGTTTTGCTATCGGTTGGTGCCCGCCTCGTACTCGAGCTTATGCTAGTGGAGTGGCCACTTCTTCTCGCCGATACATAAGCATCTCCTTTTTCTTTCATTTCCTTTTATTTTATTTTTTTTCATACATATTATTCGCGAGCTCGAACGAGCAAAAAGCATTTTACTGTCGCTCCGCAGCGCAGTTCAAAGTAGCCGAGTAGCAGCAACGACAACTCCTGGACGCGGCTGAGAAAAACATTTCTCATACAAATAGGAGCTCTCTCTCTCTCTCTCTTGTGTGCGTGCACCTACGCGTTAAGTGCAGCCGCGACGTACGTACGGTTTCGTTTTTGTTCCCTTGATGTACACGACGCAAAGCTCGGTACACACAATATAATATCCCCTTATAGCCTAGAGTTTGAGTTGGAAATATAAGTAAGAAAAAAAATACGGAGCATTTCTCGAATCTGCGCGTGTACGCTTCCGCGACTACGGAGCTTATTATTGACTAAAGGAAGAAATTAAGAAAAAAAAAAATAAGTAAAGACAAAAAATGTCACTCGTCCATCCGCAACATTCGAACACGAGCTGGATCTAAGAGGAAATCCATCAGAATCCACCTCACTGCTTCGCGCAACCTGCGCACAACTCTACATAGATATACAACATATTATATACGACGAAGAGCGAAAACGTAGATAGGTATACGTGTACGTGTGTGTGTGAGAGTAGGAACGAGCTGCATAGAAAAGAGAGATAAAAGAAAAAGGCTGAAGAACTAGCTGTGCACTAGCTCAACGACGAGCGGGAAAGGAAAGGGCTCATCGACCGGTCACGCCGTATACACACACACACACACACACACACACACACACAGGTATGGGCTAGAGATGTGTGTATGTGCTGTATACGTGTGTAGCTCGCGCTCGCATACACACGTAGACCGCGATACGCGATGCTCTTCTCTCTCTTTCTCTCTCTCTCGCAGCACGAGCAAATTACGCTAATCCACATCGTCTATTTTCTCTCTCGCTCTCTCGAAGCGCTATATACAGCCGAGCGAGCGCGAATCTGCATACGGTAATGACTTCCTGTCGTCGTGGTATAGTATGGTCTCGTGCGCGTATATATGCAACGAGAGAGAGAGAGATAGAAATAAATAAAACACGAGTGAGTAGCAGCATCATCAAGGCCGCCTAGCTTTTAACTCTCTGTATATGCATGCCAGAGAGCTTATGCGCTGCTCTTCTCTCTCTCTCTTTTGAGAGTACCTTTTGTTGTTTAAGCGATTGAGTCGTTCTTTTTACACACACACACGCGCGCGCGTACACTCAGTGGAGCATAGGAGAGTAGGCAGTAGTGGTAAGGCTCGTGTACTAGGACGAGTATATCTTTTTTTGGGACGGGGTAGAAAAGAGATGGACCGAGAGATCGATGCCATTAGCCATTAGTGCGCGCATACACGATATAACACGCTTCTTCGCTCGAGCTTGATGAGCATATATATAGCAACAGGCGCGACTCGAGCGAAGGATACATAGAGCCGCACACGTACGTACGAGGCGAGCTTTTTTTTTTTACCTTTTCACTTTTTTTTGATTCGATACTCCTTCGAGCCGCCTAGAGAAGTCCTTAATGCGTATTCTATCAAGAGGTGCGGTAGCACCTAGCCGGCAAAGTATAAAAAAAAATTATAAAAAAATAATTTTTAAAAAAAAATTTATTTAAAAAGAAAAAATTGGTTAGAATTTGAAAAAAAAAAATTTAGAAAAAAAAAATTTTTGAAAAAAAAATTTTTGGAAAAAATTTTGAAAAAAGAAAAATTTTGACAAAAAAAAATTTTGAAAAAAAAATTTTGATATTCAAAAAACAATTTTCAAAAAATTGAAAAAACAATTTTCAAAAATTTTCAAAAAAAATGTTTGCGCAAAAAATTATTTATTTATACAAAAAAAATTATTTTATGTGTTAATTCATTGAAATTAGCCTTAATTAGCTGAGAATTGTCGGCTGGGTGCAGCGCACCTATACATACACCGAAAACGCCAAATCAAAAAAAGCTAGTTCGAGATGGGGTACTTCCCGTACTCAGAGAGATATAAGATAGGTATCATTCGATAGGGGATCCAAAATCATGAACCCATGCAAATTTTTGGATGATTTGGTGCATTGGTTCAAAAAATTGGACCATCCAAAGTTTTTTTACCGTCAAATCACGTTTTTTCTAAATTTTTTGTCAAACATGAGTCAGCCACGAGATCTCGGGAAATACTTAACCGATCGAAATTCTGACGCGAGATTTCGAAAGGTATACAGCTCTACTACAATAGTTCACTATCAGAATTTCCGATTTCCCGGAAAATTCGTCTTGT